CTCAACCGCAAGGATCCGATCGCAGTGTGCACCGCTGGACCTCAACCAGATAGTTTGCCAGATAGAATGCCAGGTAGATTGCCAGATAGAATGCTGCAAGAAGATATGCCAGATAGTATGCCAAATAGTGTGTCAGATAGATTGCTAGATACATTGCTAGATAGAATGCCAGAAAATATGCCAGATAGAATGCCAGATAAAATGCCAGATAGAATGCCAGAAGATATGCCAGATAGAATGACAGATAGTATGCCAGATAGTATGCCAGGCAGTATGCCAGATTGTATGTCAGATAGATTGCCAGATAGAATGGCAGATTGAATGTCATGGTGGGGATCACTCGAAGTAAAGTAATTTTTTATAACCATGAAATGTGACTTGAGGGATGCATCTACGAAATTCTGTACGATTCAGCCAAATGATCATACAAGATTAATAAGATCATATAACCATTATATAAACCATTGTATCTCAGTATTTTCCCATCTCTGTCCCTCAGACCTCTCCTTTCACCACCCCCAAGATGTTCTCCAGTCCGACCACGACGTGGCGCGCCCAGGCGCGTTTGGGGCAGCGCTCGAACTTCGATCTTTGTGCCTCGGCGAGGAACCGGACGCAGCACGTGGGGCAGCCAGCGCACGGCTTGCGTGTTCACGGATCGGCAGACGGATGCCCAAAGATGCCAAAGACATCCAAGGACTCCAAGGGACTGGTGTAGGCTGCCGATGAACGGATCCCTGAAATCAGCCACCGCGGTTATGTCGCCAGCTCCTCGAGGAGTCTGTGGAGCGGTCTGGATACCGGTGTATGGACTCCCTGGGGATCCAAGGTGATGCAAGTAGACTCTTGATTAAGAAACCCACCCATTTGAATTGGACATCCTCTTCATCTTGGGGGTGTATGAATCATGAGTCTACAGTGTTACAGTCTGCATCGCACCTTGTCAGAAGGCGAGGAAAGGAGACAGTGTGATGTAGGTGCCAACACGTCGGGTCTGTTTTCGTACCGAAACCGAACCGGGTCGGTTCGGTACGCAAACGGATCCCTAGGGAGAATGGTTTTGATGGGTCTGTGATGAGATATGATCGGGCCATGTGGGTAAGAGTGTTGATAGAGTCGACCAACGCAACCCAAGTCGACCAACAAAGGGGATGGGCCGGACTCCGGACCAAGGGACACCTTCCCAACTACCCGGGCCCAACTTCTTTCATATCTTAGAACATGGGGCAGTGACATGACCTAAAAGGCACATTTCCTGGCTAGTACACCTCCCCTCCTCCTCGGTCCCAGGTTTTGGAGCGATCCCTGGCTTTCTGACTACCTGGATCTTCCAAGTCTAACGTTTGCCTTCTGACTGGTTCTTATACAGAACACGTTACCACCAGCGTGCGCTAAAACTGTCAATATTTCACTGTATTCTTGCATATATATCTAGTAGAGTAGTGCAAAAACACTATATTTCAGTGAGTGTATTATACTAAATGCTTCAGTGTCTTCAGTGTCACATAACCAAAAAAAACAAAAAAACAAAAAAAAAAACTTAAAAAAAAACAACCAACCCAAGACCCTCTGCAATCCATGAGTCTGTTTTTTTGTTTTTTGGTTTTTCAACAGGTTTTGGACACTGCACTCAGGAAAACCAAAAAGAAAACCTTTGGACCCAAGACCGTCTGCAAGCCATGAGTTTTTTTTGTTTGTTTTTTAGTTTTGCAATTTTAGAAAATTCCTATGCCCATCCTGTCTGGCTCATAGTCATCCTTTTATCGTTCAATTTGCTTCTCTGCTATCTGTCGAGCCCATGGCTGTGAGGGACGGAATATTGAGTTTTGAAGAAGGTATAGGCAACTGGAGGATGACAAACAAATCAATTAACTTTCCAACTAATAAATACAAGTTTATTCATAACAGTTTAATTGAAATTCCAAAAATCGAAAATGAAACAATAGATGTGGTGGATGAGTGGGACACCAAAGCAATATGTAAGCAAGTTGAAGAATTAAACCCATGTATGATCAGAGCAAAATTTGCGGGATCAGGCAAGTCATATATAGGACAGTATTTTAAGAAGATGGGTAAACATGTTTTATTCGTGGTGCCTCATAATAGGTTAAGTCAAGAAATAGAAGGTGATTCAACAACCTATAACATGTTCTTTAGAATCCCAGTTCATAAGGGGGATGAACTACCAGAGTTTGACCATCGTGAATTTGATGTTATATTTTTTGATGAAGTCTATATGACCAATCTATATATCTATAGTAAGTTTTTAAACTCTACTGAAAAACATAAAAACAATAAACTCATCATAGGAGCCGGTGACTGTAATCAACTTCCACCAATCAGTGATTTAACAAACACTCAACCACATGATAAATATGCTGACCAATGTATGGACAAAATCTTTAAATACAATATAAAACATTTATTTCCAGGGAATTGATCTTGCTTTGAACATAAAAGATTTTTATGAAATTTTTCCAATATGGAAGTATATTCTTTCTTTAATGAAACATATTCATACCACCAATAATATTCATTCTCTAGGATGGAAGCAAAACTCAATTAGAATTCCATTTGCATTGAATTGGAATCAAGTTAGAAAATTAGATATATAGATCAATTGAATTTAAGTTATATAAAGACGTTAACATTAGAAATCATTAACAAATCAATTGGAAATTGGAATAAACACAATTACAATGTTTAATGCAAAACAAAATGAAATAGAATTAAATGAGAAATATACAGATTGGACTTAAATTAGAATTGAATGAATAATATTAAACCAAAATCCATTATTCAAATTGAAATTGATCTAGACCTAAGGTAGAATTGAATTAAAGATATTTAACCTAGGAATTAATTAATAGAACAATATTGCAATATTGATATACAATTATGTTATAAATAATTCACTTTAATAAAAATTGCAAATTCACTTTGAGTTCCAATAAATAGAATTTCAAATACATTCAATTTAGAATTAGATTGGAAATAAAAATATATTGCAAATTCACATATAAATTCAATTTGGAATTTAATATTAGATCGAGAATAATCAAAGATAATTACAATTACAGCAAAACTAAATTAGAATAAAATTGACCTCTAATTTGATTATAATGAATTTTAAAAAGACATAAACTTAATTTAGAATAATACATAAACTTAATTTAGAATGTAATTAGGTTCAATTTAGAATTGAAATAGAAGTCTATTACATATTCAAAACAAATTCAATTTAAAATTCATTGAGATCCAATTTTATTATCAATAAACATAGAAATGAAATAAATTCAATTAGAATAAATATTGATTTAGAATTTAGTTGAATTGTATTTAAGTCAAAATTCATAGAATTAAAATAGAATTGAGTCAATAACTATTTAGAAATGAATCAGAAATAATGCTCGTCCACATGAGAAGTTTTGGCTTTGGTATGAGCTGAAAACTTTCCACAGCAAGATTTGGCAGCTTGAAATGCTTAAAAAGGTGCACGCTCACAGTGACGAGCTCTCTTCTTATACAGGTCCTACATGCCTCTCCATTTCCCGGAAATATCTTCGTAGATCACTTTAGATCACTTGAGATCCCATCCCACTATCTTCCATGTGTGTTCACCTCCTTTTCAGAGGGTAACGTCTGCAAAACATCCCCAGACTTCCATATTGGCCCTCATATTGGCATCTCTACACACATCTGGCGCCTCTGATTGCAGCACTTATGCTGCTGCCGCCATGAACGACCCGACAACACTCCTGCGCCCTGCGCTCGCCGCGCTCTCGCCGGGCCAGGCATTTGGGCCACCGGCATGGGTTTCCTGGACCTCTGCGTGGCCTCCCTGGTGATGCTCCCCCGGCGCTCGGACGCCTCGCCCTTCGTGTCACTCTGGGCCGAGCCCACCATCTTGGTGGGGCCCACCGTGCTCTGGAGCCAAACATCTCGGGGGTGAGAGGACAGAGAAGAGGTGGGAAAGGCTTGAAAAAGAGGGACCTATATAACTGTAACTATTTGTGTTGTCTATGTTTGTTTGGAGGGTGTTCAGGTGATGAACATCGTTGGGGGGCTTTATCATATAGTGTGATTTGTTTAAATCCTGGAGGGCCAGTCGCACACAGTGAATATGTTTGAACATGTTGGAAAGGGTCGCAAAACATACAGAGAGAGAGAGAGAGGAAGAGTTGTTATTGACCCATTGCGGACGGTCGCCTGGATCCCACCCCGCCGGTCAACAGGGTCCGAAGAACCGCAGCTCCATTCACCATCAGAACATGTATGCAGCAGCCTGCGGGCAGCCAGGCGGTTCCAAGTGCTTAAGCTGTATTGACCCTGCCACTTCACAGCCAGAGGACTCCGAAAAAGGTTCAGAACTGCCTTCGATCAAGTTCAGAACCTCATTGGGTTCAAACCAAAGCATAACTTAAAGGACAACAATGACTGGAAATCTGACTGAACCTTCATTCCCTGACACTCCATGGGACTTGCTTGATATGCAATACTCAATCAGGTGTAGTGTGTAGACGTATTGTTGGCGGTTTGAACCTGAATACTATGTTGGACCACCATAACCACCCTCAAAATCCCCCAAAAAGGTGGTCAAGCTATCCGATGGACTTCTGTCCCAACTTCTCGGAGGGAGGTGTCCGACGGACCTCGTCCCCCAAGGTGTCCAGTGCCGAAGAGGTGACCTTTGGACAGATGCTCAGTGCCGCGTTTCGGCCCTTCTCTCCGGAGCTTTGGCCCCCCGGGCTGAGCGTAGGTTTTTTTGGCGTTTGGGGTCGGGTCGGGCGTTTGGCGTTTGGGTTGGTCCTATAGACCCATCCAGTGGGACTGGCATTTAGGTAATACGTTACCATACATATCCATACAATGGAATGTCTGGGAATGGCCGGAACGAAGGGCATGAAAAGCACTTCCAGCCCAGCGGCTGCAGCAGGTGGATCTTTCAGTTTTGCGAGGATTAGAGAGCTAACACTTGGCACCAGCTTTTGTGCTTTGGATGTGATGCCCTTCATATTGTGAAAGTAGGAAGGCTGAGGACTTGTGTGCCATTTCAGGAAGAACATCATAGCCAAACATAGAACATTTGACAGATAGGTTATACATGAGTTGTATAGACAGAGTATTTTGCATTCTGGCATGTTAAACCAACATGATGATGCGGCTTACTTTCTTCCATGACCTCTACATGGTAGTCGATCTCGGAAAGCATATTTGATGCAGCAAAGCTGTAGCACTGGCCAGCGTCTTTTTTTGTGTGTTCATCAGCCTCATCAAAGCTGTTGATGCACAAATGATCACAAATCCATATCCACCTGAAAGGCCAGGTTGTTTGGCTTCGGTGGTTCAATCAGAGGTGATGTAAGGAAGGTCGTTGGTCGATGAAGACCTTGGTTCACCAAAAAACGGCCACTGAAGGTGTCAGGAAGTTCGTCTGAAAGGGGTCACCAAGTCAGACCTTTCTCTTTCTTTAAGCCGACGGGTTTCTCTTTCGGACCCAAGGAATAATCACCTTTCGGTCAGACCTTTCTTTGAAGAGAATGAACGGTTTCTGAGGGAATGGTCTGGTTTCATAGTAACATGGGGGGCCCATTTTCGCTGGAACGAGCCTAGCGGGCGCTGGACAGCTCCCAGGTTAGCGCTGCTCTGCTACTCGGCGTGGGTGAGCCGCCAGCCGCCTCTCGCGACGGGCCCGGGGGACCGGACCTATACTTGCATGGAACCCCACTGACCCCTGTTTTGATAGGAAGTTAGCTCTATTTTGGGTGGTTGGTCCAAAATAGAGGTCATTCAGGACCTATACTTGCATGGTTTGGTGTCCGAACGAATCTTCACCACCAAAATATGCAGTGGGATTCGACGTGGCATTGTCATCAAGCTATTTAGTCAATTGTTAGACTTGGAGCAGCTGCAGAGTAGATACGTGTGGATACGTATGGTACATACAGGTTTCTCACCCAATCGACTATTTGAGTCATTAGACAACCACCCAGCCTCTCCACTCTCAGACAATAGCTTTGCCTCCCTCAGACAATGACCAACATTTGCACCATTATATAGTGGTCATGTCTTACGGCAATTTCCCTGAGCAATCTCCAGAAGCACCCGTTTTTGCTATTTTTTAATGGCAGCTATTTAACGCGACACATGGGCCACATGGGATACAGCCACCGTCAGGATCGATTTGCAGGGCTTAGGACAGGACACAGACATCTCATGACATCTCAATCAAGGCACCCTGAACACCCTCTCAATGATAGTTCTACAGCCACCCTCTCAAGCCACCCTCTATCATTCTACAGCCACCCTCTCAAGCCACCCTCTATCATTCTACAGCCACCCTCTGAAGTCACCCTCTCAATGATAGTTCTACAGCTTCCTTGGAAAAAAGTTTTGGCTCTGACAAAAGGCCATTAAGTATATGTGTCCCTGGAATTGACACATGGCCTTTCAGCTGCTTCACAAGGTGTGGATGGTGTGGACCCATTGACTTTCCAGTGCAACGAGATGAATCCTTGGATGACTACCATCTTTGGAGTACACTCCCTGAAATAATCATGGAAGTAGAACCATGGCCCCTTGGATGACCATTTTTCGGCTCATAGACTCTATAACAGGGGGTTGTTTGTCCAGGCAGTCTATTATATAACTTGTTCTTGTTGCACATCATAAAGGACCTGACCTCTTCGCAGGGATGGAAGGGGTGGGAGAAGAAAACCGGCGCGGAGGGGGAGTGGCGAAAACGGGTCGATGGGACCCGGACCCAGCTTTGATGGACAGGAGCCCATCCGAAATGGACTCTTCGAAGCATTTCGGATCTGAAGACCTTGCCCAAGAGAGGGGTCTTCCAAGCACCTTGGAGGTGAGACCCAAGGGGGAGACCACCTTTCGAAGCGGTCAAGACCTCTGACCCCATCTGAAAACCTTAGAAAAGCACATGCAAAAAGGGAGGTGTTCACATCTGGAACCGGTTTAGAAGAGCCATGACTTTGCCCAGGTGTGGTGATCACATGCAGTTTGGTGATCACTTACTTCGAACCCTGGATTTGGCGCAACGCAGCGTTTGGTTCTGGGTGACCGTGTGGAATGTGGATGTTAGCACGTGAGATGTTTCAGTGATGAAGCTGTTTGCTCGTGGATGAAGCTGTTTGGTCGTGTTTGGATGCTATTTTCAGAGTAAAGTCGTGAATGTTGGTATTTATGCAGCATGTTCGACTTTGGGCTCAATGGCTATACCTATGGCTCCAAAATGGGAACACATCTGAAAACAAACACAAACAAACAAGTTCTTCCCCCACTCTTTAGCAGAGCGGTCGAACCACATTTGATGATTTGCTTGGCTTCTTATCACAGGGTCCATGACCATCCATGAGCCACGCCATGCGTTTGTCCTATATATCATTGAGTGGCGGTTTTCGATGGAAAGCTATGGAAAAAGCTTCGGACGCAAGAAGGCATTTCCTCCCTCTAACCATCATGGTTACGTGGACGACGGCCCGTTCGAGTCTTGCAAAAGGCTAAAAACCAAAGAACCGAGCTGTTTTGCTTAAGGGTCTCTTGTTTTTGTTGGATCAGGTGATGTTTTCTATTTTCCAAAACTGGGTGACTCCCCGAAAGTGGTGATTGGTTCCCACTTCCTGGACCAGCAAATCAAAGGTTTTAAGGTTTGGGACGACCAAAACCCAGGTCGAACGGACGGAAGGCGAACGGATGATTTCCCTGGTCCCAGCCCCAGAAGGATCATCGAGATGTAGTAGGGAAGATGCAGGGATGGATTGGAAAAGCAAAGACGGACCCCACTCAAAACCGTCTCAGTGGGTGCAAATGCACCTGAAAATCACCAACTTCACGTGAGGTGCTAGCAGAATTCGCAGGGCTGATGATGTCCACATCAATTTCCCTTCGAACCACGGAAGACACTCACTTTGTGTGGGACCCCTCTTAAAGCCCAACACATCCAAAGTCCTCCGGACCCCCGATCCACACAGTCCCCTTGTTTTTTCCCTCCAGCCTGATGTTGGACCTCCTTCTTTCCGCCCTCCAAAACGCCCACCAAAACGCTGATCCTTCCGTGCCCGTCACTCCCCCTATGCTTCTTTTGTTCGGCCCTGAGCCATGCTGAGCCATGCTGAGCCGCTGAGGAGACCTCGCAGCACGGGCAGTTCAACGACATTCGCAGCAAGCGCCTGCGTGCCGCCGAGGCCGTCTACCGCGCCTTGTGCCCCCCCCGCAGTCGCTTCGCCGCTGCGCAGTCATCTCGCTCTCCGAAGCTCATTCAGCCACATGCACCATTTGAGGGTTCGGAGGAGGAGCGCGAAGCGAATCAGCTGCTCCTGGAGACCTTGAAGGTTCGGCCCTTGGAGTTGGAAAAAGACCTGCAGCTTGGGCCATGGGGCGAAATCGCAGAATCGCCTTTTCCTCTAAAACCACTTCAATCTGAGCCACTCATGCCACATGCCCTGTCTCCTCTTCAGTGTATGTGGATCACTTCTACAAGCCTTTGAGGCGGCTCCTGCTTCAGTGTTGTACCATCTACGGACCCTTCCAGCCGCGCCTGCAAGCCTTCGTCAACCCTTCAAGGCTCAGCGTGCGGTGCGCGCGCTGTGCGCAGGTACAGCTTGTTCATGTGCGAGAGCCGCTTTGAGCCTCAAACCCTGGGTGGACGAAGCTTGGTCGTGTTTCTCGCTGTGTGTCGCACTCCTGGACGCTCGGGCGCCCTTTTTGGGTCCATCCCGGAAAAAAAAAGAAGAAAACATCCCCATGCAGGTTTTGGTTGGGCTTCAGGTGTGGAATTGATGAACGAGTTGGTGAACGAATTTGAGACGGCAGTTCTTGTGAGGATGGTGAAGCGTTCTCTATGAGTTAGACTTTACAGTGATTTGCATGGCCCTAAGAATCCTTGTCCTCTCCATGGCAGGGGTCGGACCCTCCATAGCAGGGGTCCGGAACCTCAAAACCTGACCTCATGTGTTTGAGGGCCCCTATTTTTAGGGTGAGTTATTTAGTATGGACCAGAGTAGAATAGACACTTCTCATGGGACTGAGCTGTTGCCATGTTTCTTTGAGCTGTCCCATATAGACACCCAAATAGATATGGAAAAGTGGGTCCCCACAAAAAAAAAGTATTGCAAAGCGACCGCCATAGATACAATAATAATGTTATCAGTAACAACCTGTCAACATTGTATATTGTCGTAGATTCATGATGCTTTATCTCCCAAGTAGTCAGATGTGGCTATGAATTACATCAACCAGTTCAAAAGTCACCTGGACTCTTCAGAGTGTCCGGGAAAAATGAGACATGACCCTACAAAACAGGCACGACTGTACCTTGTTATCTGCAGGTCCCAGGATTTCTGTCTTCACCTTTATATACCAGGACCCTCCTGTCGGGGTGTCTTTTTTTGGCCCCTTAGCCGTTAAGGGGTGTCCATTAACCACCCCTTGAAGGCCCTGGTGTAGGCTGATTCCTGGAGACTGAGGAATTGTTGGGCTTGGGCTGGCCTTCATGTGCATCCTCTTCGTGCCCCGGAGGAGCTGATGTTGCCAGTGTACCCGACGCGAACCAACGAACACATCACAATGAGGCTTAGTTTTGCTCTTTTGTCTACTGCCCTTTAGGTGAGTTCTTGACTTGATGCTCTGACCTGAACACATTCTCTGCTGCCTTATAGTCTACTCCTTCCCGTGCACCATTCATGGAACTTCTTCCGGAGATTTGCACCAGGTATGAACCATCAGTCTAGGGTCAGCCCTCGTCATCCCTGTTTCCATCTGGCTCGCAGTCACCTGACCCAATCAAAGCATGGAAGTACGTGAGATCCATCTCCCATGAGTTCCATATACTGTATGCCTTACGACTCCAAAATGGAACTTCTGCTCAATTAATTCCAAAGTGACCCGACTTTTGAATCCATCCATTCGATTCATATCCATTCATTGGGTCCACTCTCTTCTCACATCACTTGCATCACGTGTGGCGTCAGATGTCCAAATGGATTGAGTTTCTCTCAGTAAGGACCGGGGATGGCTGGATCCAAAGGAGGACTCAGACTCATTCCCTTATTCCCTACGGCCCTCGCGTCAGCCTCTAGGTCTGTGGCTATACGGCCACCTTGGCCTCTTTTCTGGTGGAGGAGCGTCGCTTGGAACCCAACGTTGAGGACTTGAACGATGCCATCAGGTCGGGCGACCGGGCGACGGAGACGGAGACCGCAGCCTCACGAGGCGAAAAGGTGGTTTGGGGCCCAACGAAGTTTGGGGATTCAGAAAGGGGCTCCATGGTTTTCAAGGTGAACAGCAAGAATCAGTCGTGTAGTAGTGCCTTGACGAGTTTGATCAGGAATTTGGTTGACATGATTCTGGGGACGGTGATCAATCAGGAGGACCACAGTAGGGTGTTTGTTTCGATGAACTCCCAAAGGATGATGGCCACCTGGCGGCCGAACGCGGGCGGGCTGAGGTCGGGCTGGGGCTGGGGCTGTTGTTTTCATCGCAGCTGATTATGATCAGCCCTGCTATGTTTGGGTTCCCGGTCATGTAAGCGGTTGATTCATTACAAGAACTCCCATTGGGATTGTATAGCCGCCTCTTCATGGGGGGTTCAATTGTGGATCCACATAGAAGTCGATTCACTTCTCCAGGAGAGGATGTCAGGTTCTCCAAAAAGATGTTTGGTTAGGGTGTCGCTAGCTAGTCAGGTGCTCCAGGAAAACATCAGCGGAACATGCACAGGTTCGATGATGATGGTCAGTTCTTGTCCGCTGATTCTTTGCAGTCATGGTCTTTTTGGGCCGCCCAGAGGTGTTTGCCCATCCTGAACGCCCACCCCTTTTTCTTATGCCCTAGGGCTCCAACCACCTCCTGAGAAGGTGGTTGGGGTGGGTGCTAGGGGGGTCTAACCACCTTCTGAACTTCTGAGGATTATGGTTGGAGCCCTAGGGATGTTCACCTTCTTTTCGGTGGGAGAGACCGTGATGTTTTGGATGATGAAGAAGAAAGGCACATCGCTTCGGTGAGACGGGTGTGCAGGTGAGACATGGCACAGCTCTGGGGGGGCTCAGATGTTTCAGGTTCAGGGCATGCAGAGATCTGGCTGTGAGGAGCCGAAAAGCGCCCCCAGCACACCATGGTTTCGATGGACAGGCCGGAAACTAAAGGGATCGCTTTGACCCGAAGTCAACTCTGGTGCTTGGGCGTTGATCCACCTTTGTGTAAAGAGGGCAGAATGCTTGATCCCGACAGAGATCCCAGGACGTCTCATCATGAAATTCACCAGAGACCCCCAAAATGTCTTCGCCTCCAGGATGGTGAAGTGAGTCCTTGACATAGATGCATGCATGCACCTTCCCCCGACCACGCCTTCACACCTCAGACACCTCCTGGCCGGTTTCGGGGCCTTGTGTGCCAGGTTGAATAAGAGGATTTGTGCCCATCCGAGCCACATCCTCACCCTGAAAGTGCCTTGGGCTTCAAGTCGATCGCCGACCAGACACCAGGCGCTGCGACGGGGGGTCTCCGGCGCCCTTCGGCCACCTGGGTGCCACAGGATCAGGAAACGGAAGGAAGACCAGGACACTCAAGCTGTTTTGTGGTTGTCTTCCGGATATTATCTGCCAACTCAGGTTGAAGGACACTGTAGACTGTAGACCATCCCATACTTGTAGGTACCCCAGTGGGGTCCTATAAGGTCACTTAACCTCTCTGGGTATCTAACAATATCATAGCCAGATCTACCGAATCTCAGTGGGGTCACCCCTTTCCGCTGCCATACGCTGCCAAGTGGTGCTTCTCATCAGACTGGGTCGATGAGGTAGATGAAGTGAGAAAAGAATCAGGTCTACCCTCCGACGACACATAACATTAATATTCATAAGGATGGAACATTCTGTCGATACAACTGTCAACGTATACATCATCTTCCTATATAGAAATGATTTGGAATGGATCTTGTTTAAACATGTTTAAGCGACCGCACTTCTACATCCACTAGAGTCACTAGAGACGTCCTACCGTAGGTGGACGAATTGTTCAAACCCTTACAGGATTCACCCCCCATAGTTCAATGTTGGCATGTTGGTGAAGGAGGTTGGCTTGAGTGGGCGAATCATATCAAACCCCTGACAACAAAAAATATGCTCACTTATACAAAATTGAAATAGGGGGCGTGGGGGTGGTGATCTAGCATGTGGTTTAGGGGTTTGATTAATTTGTCCATCTACTGCCTCAACTGTGTTGTTTCGTATACATCCCCATGCAAAAAATGTTGGCTTAACATATCCGTTGTAAGACAAGGTACAAGAGTCAGTGAGATGCAGACCCCTTGTAAGAGGACGGCTGCTTTGTTGGTCTTTCCGATGGGTGTCCCTCCTGAACCATTCTGCTGACAGCTCAAGCCTTTGCGCGCCTGCTTCACCTGAGGTGCATGGTGTACCTGAATCCAACATCGTGCCCATGAGTCTCTCGGCGATTGGCAGGTAGCAACCGATAGCAACCAACCCCAGAGGCTCCAAAGGCTGGTCTATATGCAGTCATTTCCAGATGACTGCTCTCAGACCGTACGACCGCAAATAGCGTAGTCTAACCGCAGTTTTGGTGGTCATTTCTAGTAACCGATTCTCGAAGGAATGTCCGATGAATTTCGACATCGTTCTTTCGCCCAGCCCACATCAATCCAGACCCAACCGCTGCCTTTTATCAAGCCTCCACGCATCTTTGCACACTCGGCTGACTCTTGGCTGCACACACAGTGGGCGAGATCGGTGGATACCGGTGGCCATGTTGGTATTTAATCTTCATGATCTATGTTCATGTCCCACCCACTGGGTCCCAAGTGGCTAATCGCAGTAGCCACCTGCAAAGAACCCTAAGTTCCATGAGATCACCTCTATGGACTTTTTGACACAAACGCTTACTAAGACCTATGTGGTCTTCATCGCAAAAGCAATGGTAAAACCGACAATTAATTCCATGCCGCAAGTGGTCCTCGGCAATGTGTATGAACGCGTGTAGTTTTGGCTGCAAGCGCCACCGACTCTTGTTGGCACGAAGCGCTACGACAGCCAGCCGCTCCAGCACGAACACAAACTTCATTGCAAGCCCATGTAGCTCCACTTGGGCGTCCCGGTCAAGGAATCGTGGTGAGCGTTCCACCAAATCAAACCAAGAGCGCAAAGCCCGAGCCGCAACACAAGCATTAACGATCTCGGCAGTTCGGGTCAAGTCTTCCAAGCTGTGGAGGCACGAGTCCACGAAGATAAGAAGGAGGCGACCATTGAATGCCTTAACACATAGTGTTGGATACCCATCTGCTGTGTTCAACAGCCCAGGGTGCATGAAGCCCTGTGAATGCCTGAGCAGATTTCCAGACAAGAAGACACCCCTTAAACTTCCATAGCAGCTCCCACACGAAATACAAAATTTGTTAGTAATCCTCGAGCTAGATACTGATGCTGGTTCACTCTCGCCCATAATCGAAACCGTGCCGACATTTCACGGAAGCAGTCATCTGAATTTCCATCCCCAAAGAATCCTGGGCGACCATCCCAAATCAAACTTATTGTGGGCCATGAGGAGATTACTGCAGGACACATTCTGGGCGCCAATACTAGAAAAATGTGTTGAATAATGAAGTACGAAAGTTCGATGCTCCATGAGAAGACTCACGCAGCTTCCAAGGAAATTCTGTAGTATTCCCAAATTAACTGTATGCATCGAACACCATCTTATCAGGCTAGGTGAAAATGCAGGGGCGGATAGCAAAGGATGATGGTACCTGTGGGGACCATAGACATGATCGATATCAGTTCAATACTTATGGCTCTGGCCAAAACAAATTTAACAATAACTGTACGTTTGTTCACTCTGGCCTGAAACAATTTGCAATGGCGTTGCTGGTGCTTCTCCGTGCAAATGTTCTCCCAAATCGTGTCCACCTGAAAGGCTGAAGTGAGGTAACCCAACCCAACAAACAAGGGAGGGCAGAAACTACATACACCATGTGGCCATGTGGGCAGACACTGTTGGCTTCAGGCAAAAGACAAGAGACCTGCCCAGAGGATGCCCTGCTCTTTTTGCATTGCACTGGTGGCAGAAGTTTGAAGCACCCCAGTGGCAGGAAAGTGCAAACGCTTCCCTCTGCCATTTCCAGTCCCCGCGGTATTCGATGCAAAATGCAATTCCGCCTGAGGAATGCAGCGAATGGCTCGGCAGGGGGCCCCATCTTGTGTTGTTTTGAACACAGGGGTTGCGTGCCAAAAACCCAACATGCAGATGGTCATATTGCTCACAGTACTGCGCCTGCTATTGGCTTCCCAGCATTTTTCGAGTTCAAAGCAGGCAAAGGATTGCCCTCAAAATCCTCCGTGGGGTGGATGCCAGAAGCTAAAACCTAGGCTGCGACAGGGTGACACCAGTGGACACCACTAGGTTGGGCCCATTGTTTAAACACAACGCTATCTTGAAAAATATATATCACAAGTTGGGTTTGATTGAAGATGTGAAGCGCGAAGGCTCCATGCAATGACCTGGTAAACCCGCTTGAGAGTATAGTCTGGCACAACCAATGCACAGCGCATGATCAGGACCGGAAACCGTGCAAGGTCTAGTCCTTGGGATGTAGTTTAACACAAAGTGGCAAACAGAAAGGGTTTTGCTCACAAATAGGAGGGGGGTTTTGCCTCCTCCAACAGTAGAAGATTAAAAAGGGGACAGTGAGATAGAAAACTTATATACATGTATAAAATATTCAAACGAACACTAGTATGACAACTCCTAGACGCTGTTTTTGAATACCGGCTCAAAACAAGAAAGCTGAAACGCCTGTACGTAGTGCATACCGCTTTAAATATGCCCTGTCAAGACTCGACCTGGCTCCTGAAGTATGGCATTCCAACAAATGTTGATGAATTTCTCTCCGGACTTGGTGTACTTGGCGTCGTCGCCATAGAGTCCTATGACATTGGCCCCCCACCTTCCAGGGTGTTCTGGGTCCAGCCAACCGCGCCGTGTGGTTTCCCTCCAAAACTCCGCCAACCTTGCAGTGTCCACTTGTAGTTTCCCACTTTCCTTATTGGCGGAGCAAGTGGGACGTGTCCACAGGAGTTAGTTGACATGTGCCTACTGTAGTACTGCAAACAAGTTCAAAAAAAGATGACTATAGCATTACAAGATTCGAACAGATAATGGTACACTTCGTGTGGGAGCAATAGGGGAACTCGTTTCAAAATGATATCCCGACGGTTCTTTTGGCACCGTGCTGGCACTTCTATATAGAATGGAGGGACCGGAAGCCTCAACGTCCGATAAAGGTCCCGCTCAAGATTCCCTGGATGGCGTCCTCCCCCACCAAGCCGTGCTAGCTTTTGGGTGAGCTCCGACATCGAGCCCCCATGGGCCTGACCAGGATAAAATTAGTGAAAAGTCTTCTTGGCCTTAGACCAAAATCAATTGAAGGGGTGAAAGATTTCTTTATGCCCGGAGCCAGCCCTGGCCTTGGCTTCCCTCACCGAGGCAGCGGCACTTTGCTGAAGCTCCAAGCATGATGTCGCCTGGCAACACTAGCCGTGGATGGGCGCGGCGTGGGAGTGCGAGGTACAGTTATTTGCTTACAAAGATGGGTTGCTTTCAATAAACCCCTCAAGTTCAGGATGCCAGGGAGTGCTTCCAAGTGACGCCACGACCAAGTGAACAAAGAAGATGGTCTGCCAGGGAGTGATCACCTGCGGGCGGTCAGATATGAACAGGATCCCAAAGCTGTCTACACGCGAAAGCGCCAACGCATGCACATGGGTCTTTTCACCATCGCTTCACATCCACCATTCCCGCGCTATCCTGCACTGTATTGTGATCTGAAGCGATCAAACACTCAAGCGGCAGAAAGCAGAACACCAAAACTTACGAGCGCAAAAAGACAGTGTCTTTGAAGTTGCATTAAGTTTCCACTTGAGTGGCTCCCCATGACGCGCAGAAATCGCACAGGGTCTAAGGTGGACTCCTACAAAACCTTTGATGCCAGCACTTGGCCCTTTCAAAATCAGATAGGCGCCACAAACAATTTCGCAACAAAACAAGTCCAAGTAGGCCTAACCGGCACCCAATGCTCAACACCACTGCTTATGCAGCAGCCTTTGGCTTAGCAGCAGCCTTTGGCTTCGAAATGTGCTTGCGAACCTGTACAGAGGCTTTGCGGTAGGCTTCATTTGCCATCTCCAAAGCTTCACGGCTGGCCTTGAGATCCTTTCCATGTGCAAGATCAGATTCCACCTGCTCCTTTGCTTGCCTCATACTCACCGCTTCGGCTTGCATCTGGGTGACGAACGCGTCCGCGACAACTGAAGCCCTCAGCAAATTTGGAGATGCCAAATTGAATGGTGCAATATATGCCCACGTGAACTTGCGACTGAGTCCATCACACTCCCGACTGGGTCAATTTGAATGACCACTGGGACACCTCTAGCAAGTTCGCGTTGACCTTCACGATCGCCTCATATATGCACGCACACGCATATGATATGTAAACACAGCTGGTTAAAGCAAGAAAACGCATAATAAACACACAGAGACAACAGTTTTGGGCAAAGTACAGCGCGTGCAAGTTGGTCTTCTGTTTTCTCTTTCTTTGGCTTGTCTGGTATTGAGTCATCACGGTTGTCACCACGACCCCGACCCTTGCCCTTGCCGCCCTTGCCACTTTTGCCGCCCTTGCCACCGCCCTTCGAACCCTTCCCTGCAGGATCGGGCAGGGTAGCGCTTGGCTCTCCGGATGTCATCGATGACCCAGCCCCATCATATACATAATCTCCCTCTGCATCCCGGATGTGAGCGGCGCTTGTGCTGTGAACATGCTCGGATTGCTCAAAATCCTCGACCCACACATAATATAGCCTCATTTCCTTATAGCAAAAGCATCACGGTTTGATAGCCCAGCGTGTATATATATATATATCATAGCACGGCCGTAAGCAGTTGTGTGCAAACTAGGCTCTGCCACCCCAGGAAATTCAGGGTGATCCTTAAATGCACCAGCTGCGGTCTTTGTTGCGATCAGCTGGTCCACAAGAACTGTGTTCTGGTGGTATTTCTGCAGCAGGTCCTGAGTGTAGGCAAAAGGGGGCCCGCAGATGTCAACCCCTGTAAGGGCATTTTTTGATAATTTTGCGCAAAACATCAAAACACCTACTGGCTAAGTTTCTGCCCGAGACAGCCACCCCCAACGGCCACCACGCGTTGTGTTGGTGGTGTTACTTTCGGTCAGCACGATACTGGAACTCATCCAGTCTTCGTTGCATTCCAAGTATTGCTTGAAGAGGGCTTTCATGGCCTGTCCAGTATGATCATTGGCGGCCTCTGCAAACTTCCTCAAGGAACGCGGGAAGTCAGTACAAAATCAAAATAGATAGTTTGTTGAGTCAAAACGTACTAAAGCTTTAGTTGTGTTTGATACCAACAACATGTCAT